CTTCGTCGACGCTGCCCCCGAAACTCAGTTCCTTTATCAGGGGATTTAATGAAAATTTTCTTTATGGCTTCATCCACCGAGATTCTTTTTAAACAGAATTTTCATAACTTCGATGTACATAAACAGTGCAATTAATAGGCGAGCACGATAGAGCTCTACCCCTCGGCTACACCCATCTACTGATCTTCAGGCTAGTAAACGAGCAAGTAATTCATAGATTTTTCGCGGAATATTTCATCTATGATAACTCAGTGGTCGTGCACAAAATCTGAGAGGGTTCAAGGAACTCTATTCAAAACAGCGCGGTTTTTTTGGCCAGTTCCAAGTTTTTTTTTGTTACTATACATCATATAACCGTTTGAAGAAATCTTCCACAATAGCTGATGAGCGACGAGCTCCTCGTTCCAGGGGTGCGGAAATGTCAACTTAAAAATCTACTTCTGATATTTCTTTTCGGAAAATGGGAACAGTAATTACTCAATATTAGACTGTTTCAAAGTAGACACTAGGAATTTTGAGATAAGGGAAGCACCACGATGAGTCTTTCAAACTACTTATAGGAGAGCTAATTCACTGGAAACGAAAGAAGACAATCGGAAAGACAGAAACAAAAGGAGAAAATCTAGGAAAAGAGCGGCAAATTCTACTATATTGGAAGTAGGCACGAAAAAATTAACCTACAGTGTCAAGTGAATCGCCACCTGTAAACGAAGTTGGTGGCATATTCTCGTCGTTAGTCAGCTCAACAACCACCGGTTCCCATACTCCAACTTCAAAGGTATTCTGAATTGATTCAGTTTTATCGAGGAAACAAAATGCAAGGCCCGATCATGGTCTTTAACAACAACGCAGCAACAGTGGTAGAACAGATTCTGTCTGGCTCAGCCAAAAACCCCTAACATTAGCATTAGAGAAAAGAGTAGCTGACTGCACCATAACAGAGGAATAGAGCGGGATAGTGAACGAAAGGAACACCAGTAGCTGAAGTATACCCCCCCCCCATTCTAGAAGCTGATTTGAACCGAAGACACCGCCCGCGATCAAACAACGCGCAGATGGCGGAATATCCAGTCGTGGAAGATTTCTTATTTCTGCGCTTCGGCAGTGCAAAACAAAAGCACGACGGCTCAGCGACGATAACCTGACTTCGCCTACGCGAGCTATACCCTCTTTTGTTATTTTTTCCAGCAGCGGTGGGGACTCCATCACTCGTATATTCTCTAGTCTCCCATGGTCTATTTTCTTTTCTACACTCACGCATCCTGCGCCGTTTGCTCATGCAATGCTTGGAGCCAACAGCACTCGTAATTAGGGCGTTTTCGAGGCTTTCTTTGCCTTTTTTCTTAATCATTAGTTCGCCTGCGAGGTGGTGTAAAGACAAGTGGCGCGCTCACCACTCGCGCGGTCCTGGGTTCGAATCCCGGGTCGACACCCGCCCAGGCCAACCAAGCCTTCTACCCTCCGGGGACGGTAAATTGGTACCAGATTCGTTAGAGGATAATAACACTGACTTGTACATCGGCTGGCCCCCGCAAGTCATTGTATAGGCCACATCGCATTCAATAAGCCACTACGATTCTGAATGGAAGTAGAATGCGTGCCGCATCCCACAAAGGGATTGATCAACGGCGAAGACTTTACTCTTATTTTTTTATTATTTCGCTTACCACGTGCTCATGATTCTGAACCCTACAATATAAACGATCGCGAGCGCTGTTTTTAAGGGAAAAAACGGTCACCTCCGCCTCGATTTGATCTTTGGTGAGCTTTCCTGCAGCGATTTCAGTCGCACGATTTTGTTCCCTGAGTTGTTGGATTTTTGTAACAATGAGTGATTGTTTCTCCTCATATGTAGCGGGATAGGAAAGCGGCGTCCATTCGTAATTATCCGGACTATGGCATCTTCCTTTGAAAAAAATCACATAGATGAGACATTCTGAAAGCATGGTGACGACATAATATCCTACCTTGGAATATCCTAGAGCATCAATTAACGTCTTTTGACGCAGCTCGTCTGCCAGCAAGAGGTGGTTGATCCTGAGATTTGCTAATCTTACAATTTTACATTTATATTTTTCATCGGGTCACCAGCTAAAGTTGGGCGCTGCACACAAGATCTGGGAGCTCAGGCACGACACAGATTTCAGATTTGAATTCCCTAACATGGGGAGGTGGCCAGGGGTTATGGGGGTTGCATTCCAGGGCACCTTGTACGTAGGGAATCCCCAGCAAGAGGGGTTTTTGGCCCAAATTTGATCGCTGAAAGGATAGGGGTCAGGCTGCGTCGTGAAAAGTGTTCTGCGGATACTTCTCAAGTTTATTTTTGTTTCATAAGTCGCTTTACAACCAACTATTCCACTCGGCCAGGCAGTTTGAAAAAGGATAGAAGTTGGAAAAATTTAGAACATGTAGGCAGGGCTGGGGTCCCTATTGTGGGGAAGGGGAGCCCGCCTACCGAGAAGGAGAAAACCTGAGCGGGCATAGTGCAGACAAATTTTTCCAGCGCTATTGTCGTGCTTCTGGTAGACTTTTCTGATCTGCCGGTTTCCCAGGTCAGCTCGCGCCTGGGATAACTTTACTATTCTTCGACCAGTGGATCGCCAGGAATGATTCTCCCTCCCAATCTTCTACGAGGTATTATCCCCTTCAGGAACGGGGCCATATGTTGTAGAATATTGCTCAAGCAAACCACGACCACGAAACGCCCTGCACGCAAGTCCTGCTGGGAGGTTTGTGAAATTACAGACATAATAATAATGGTTTCCTTACTCCCATGTCTAATGTCAAACTGCTACCAGTATCTAGATTGTGAGCGATTGTGCGGCTAATATAATCGGCTTAGAAAGGTTCAGAGAGTAAATGGAGAATCAAAGTGTTTCTAGTGCAGCCTTGAAGTTGCTTACCCTCCATCCCTCTTCTCGTCCAGAGCGAAAATTCACAAAAGCGAAACCAACCACACCGGTCAAAAAGCTATATGGCAACGCTGATATTAGATTCCATAACGTAGCAGATATTGGATGCCGATCCATCAGTTCCGGGACGTAGATCTGGCGCTGTCGTGACAAAGCTGAGTTGTCTTCAGGTTTAACGACAGTGCTTGTTTTCCGTCCGCCCTTCCAGTCGGGCTGTAGATAAGTTATACGACGAAATATGTATTCTATTGTCGCAACTATCGCCTTAACGAGAACGTTATGAAGGTGAAACGACATACAAACAAAACTAAATCTACTTTGAAGTAAAGTCGACGTCGAGTAAAATTCGCTTCTATCTACATTCCAAGTTGTACTTCTTAATGAAATACTCGTTGAACGATGAGTATTCTTCATCGGGGAACGGAGATGATGGCGTAAGATTTTCAAGTATCTTAAAGAAAGAAAAAAAATCCATATAGTCACAGTGAGTGAGCGAGATCAAATATACGTACTTACTATAATCATGCTGAAAAGTTGGCGCAGCTCAGCGACGGGACTAGAGGGAAGGGGGGTATTTCGACTTTTTGCTGTCCCGGTGTAGAGTTTACTGCTTTGCAAAAATTGAGGTCATTTCTACAAATTATTAGTGGGAATATTTCATGGTTCCAGATGATTTTATTTATCTACAGTGCGTAACAAAAGTATGTGGACCTCATATTTTGTGCCTGGTAAAGTTGCCTGAATATTTCAGACATCAAACCTTTATTGTTGAATTCCTCATAAGCGAAAACATAGGAATACACTACTTCTAAACACTTTGTGGACTACTGAACAATTATTTATTGTTTTGAAAAAGTTTCTTAATAACAAAAGTATGTGGACACTTAACAAAAAACAAATGTATCGTGGAAAATAGAAGTTGGTTCTTCCTCCAGTGTTCACTATTGCTTCGAACATTCTGTCTGGCATGCTGTGGACAAGATTTGTCATGGTGTCTTCATCGATTTCCTCCCAGCAACTACCGTCTTCTTCAGGCCTCACACGCTGTTGTACTGCCCACTGTTCATGTAGATTCGTCGAACCATTATCCCCCACAGGATTTCGATTGGTTGCTAGGAGAACACGCCGCCAATCAATCACTTTGATACCATTGCGTTGGAGCCATTTTCTAGTAGAATTTGAAACATGCACGGCCGTGTTCTCCTGCTGCATCACATGTGTCCTGCATCGTGGCCCGCTCAGAAAAGGCAAGATGTTAGACTCAAGCACTCCTTGGTATTCCTGACTGTTCAGACAGCACGATTGGGAAGGCAAGCTCCAACTTACCTCTGCCCAAAACCATCCCGTCCCATCAAAGAGGTGCCTCCGAAATTTCGTCTCGAGAACATCAACGGATCGCTACAAAGGCCTTTCCAGTGATGCTGATATCCATCTGGCACGTCGAGCATTGACTTTTTCTCTTACCAGTTGAAGAATAACCTAATAAATGCGCATAGATGCTGCCTTCCTGAATCACACAAATATCTCAAGAAACTGCACCTTGTCCCACGACGTCGCCATTTTTGCACGCGCAAAGTTGGGTCTTGCCAGCTGGTGCCTGGCAGTCAGACAGGGAGCTTTCTTCATGGTCTCTCTAGTGATGTGCTCTCAACTGACTGAATAGAGCGCCATTGTCATTTTTAGGACCGCTAGATTCATCGCGGCATGGATCTGTGCACAGAAAAGCCGGCGAGTTTTTTAGGCTATTCTTCTGATGTCTTTTGCGGACGAAGATCGTGAGTGCCTCGAAACAGGTACTGAGTGGTAGCCATCAGGATTCTGGAGGTATATACCAACGCACGTCGCCGAAAGTCCAAGCTATCTTGCAATTTCTCTATTCGAGTGTCCTGCAGCACTGAAAGCTCGAATCCGAGCTTGTTCGTCTTCGTAGGGAGGACTACCACGACGAGGCATGAGTACAGGTTAATGGGGACTAGAGACCATAAAAATGGATTGCAGATCTGGAGCCAAACTTTGGACTTCCTCAGGTGTCCACATACTTTTGTTATTAAGAAACTTTTTCAAAACAATAAATAATTGTACAGTAGTTCACAAAGTGCTCAGAAGTAGTGTATTCCTATGTTTTCGCTTATGAGGAATTCAACAATAAAGGTCTCATATCGCAAAATTCAAAGGCAATTTTGCAGGACAAAAATTTGAGGTGTCCACACCCCTAGCCGAAAACTGCGTGAAAGTAAACGCCTGACACCGCAATAGGGTGATAAGGCAATTGGGGAGCCGAGTAGGTAAGTCTTGATGACCCCTGTTTTTACGCAAAGGCTAGGGCAGTTGAGGGGAAAGCCACTGGGTACACACTGTTCCGCTAAGAAGGCGTAAATTTCGTGTCTGCTCTAACGGAACGTCCTACCCTCATCCCATTTACTATGTTCCCGAATTTCCCAACTTCTTACCACTTTTCTCAGTTTTTCCTTCAATACTCCAGTCTTTCGACAAAAAGCTGGCAGTGGTGGTGGAAGAAACCGTCACCAATCAATTACAGCATGATTCATGATTATTTAGGGGCGACAACATCAAGGAGGACGTGTCAAGCGGAAAAAATCAACAATTAAAAAAGATTCTCCCAGGCCAATTACGACCCACTTCCGTGTTTTTAAACGACCAAAGACCAAACATGACCCCTTGTTGGGATCCCCAGCTTACGAAGTGCCCTGCCTCTCCACACACTAATCAACGGCAGTGCCCGAACCTAACCTCGGCAACATAGTAAAACACTGGCTGCTCGATATTTCTGTACCACGGCATCACAACGGCATCCCTATAGTCCTCGGGCCTGAAACATAGAATCTCGTATCAGTCCTCACATGGTAGCCGGGCTGACAAAATGCTCACTTGAATACGAAATTCCTTCGCTCTTCTTCGCTGGGTATCCTTGGGGTGTCGCCCATCATTTGAACCACTTCTTCCACGTACTTCATATTGATACTGTACTCCCATTTATCATTAGTTGACGACGCAGCTAAATGAAAATAAATTAAGTACGGATCACCATTAAACATAGATATCAAATGTAATATTGAATTTTCAGTAAATACGTGATTTGATAAGGAATAATTTATCGGACTATGTTCTACATAGAACTCTTAGAAGTCTAGAAACCTTTAAAATTTCCTGATTGAGGACTCGGTCACCTAAAATTACCAGGAAACGCCATTCATCTTCCACTCTCCACCTCGTAGAAGGAGAGGGAGTGGCTGCGTGCCTCCGTTCGAACGTCATGCCACCGCGCTTCTAATGAGATACTACGGTTTGTGACAACTCCAGCCAGACCTTTGTCCAGCACAATACAGCATGCCAGCTGGTCTGAGAAGAAATACCCAGTGAAAAAAGCATATCCCACTGAATTAAGAGGAAATGCGCAGCCACGCCCACCCAATCTTCCGAGATCCCCCTCGCTCGTTGGTAGCTTTGGAAGGAAAGTGGTAGGGAGTTGGGAAAATGCAGTAAGACGGAGGAGGAAAGGGGGGGGGGTACCACGGCGGATATTTTGAAGGCCTGGCTTGACGCAAACGGCAGGACGTACCCTGCTCCCGATATTGTGTGCCTTTCGACAACAAAAAGTAACACCGATTAAGCCAACCCATTTTTCACAAAAACGAATTGCATAGAAGCGACCGCCCGGGAAACCGCCCGGCCCGCCCTATTGACCCTTTACTGCCCCATTTATCCGGAATCGAGCCAGTTTTCAACCGACTTTTTCTCCGTGGACAGACGTGGCTCATGTTGTCTCCTGGGGTAGTTTGATCTCCTGAACACGAATATCACATCCGCTTAGCCCGAAACTTTTGGCGCCCGCGCCACGGGCGCTGA